AAAAAATTACATAGTGGGGAAAAAAATTACATAGTGGGGAAAAAACAGAATGAAAGCAAGTCCTTTGGCATGTTGATAAGGTACTTAGCTTTGTATATAACTCCTAGATTTTGGGTCTAGCTTAAAACTGTGCTTGCATTTTCCATTCAATTACAGATGATCATTAAACAGTAGACAGAATACAAATTATGAATGCTGTTTCCAATTTTTATGGATATGTTTATGTTATATATATTCTGACCACCTCAAGGACCAATACATGAATTTAGAATGGAAATACCTAGCTTCTGGACCTTAATTTGGCTCAAAATAGCAAGAAGCGCACCAGGATCAATCCAACTCTGACTGAGACAAAAGTTTTTGCATATTGGGACACAAACCTTGTCACCTCAAGATTTAAAAAATGAACAGTAGGGCTCTTGCAGAGTTTGGATGTTACCAGGATTAAGCAGTATCCATCACAAAATTTTCAGAATCTAATTTTGGGCACTTGGTGCCCAAACTTTTGCTTTATGTATCAGATAACCCATCTACATCTTATTTCTGTTCGTTCCATATTCTTTGAACAAACTTCATACCTAGTTTTATAGGAGCATATGAAGTTTCACTGTGAAGATGTTATAGACCAGATCTCAATGAAAACTGTTTATCATTCCTTCTGTACTGGTATTGTCCTTGGCAAATGGCTTCAGTCAGTGATGCAGAAAAGCGTGCATGTTAGTATTCGGCTAATGTGCAGTTGGGACCCCTAATGACTCATGGTATTATATAATTGACCAAGATTGCCTAAAGGAAAGAAACAGGATCATTACAAAAATATCAGTATTCTCTCCATCTTATAATTTTTGTGCTCCAAAGACAGAATTCCCTATTAGAGATACTGAAATATCTATTGAAGGCTGTTGTAGCAGCGTTGATATTTGCATTTGAGCAGTTTCTAACTATTCTAATTGTTCCACCTGCATGGAAAAGGGATGAAGGCCAAAAAAAAAAAAAAAAAAAGTCAAAATGAAATTAAAAGATAAACAAAAAATAGAAGATGAAGATGCTACATTTAGCTCAGCCAGAATGACAGAGTACTTTTAGTTCAGGGCTAATATCCAGTGTTTGAGGTCTGTACCCAGAAACTGCTGCAAATGATGTATTAGGTTTACTGCTATATTTTAATATATTGGAGCAGCAAGGATTCCTGATAATATTTAGCTCAAACATCAACATTTCTCTATTTTTAATTACTCTAAAGCTAACTTGACATACTGTTATAGCTTTCCTAAAATTTGAGGTTCAGAAAAAAGAATCAGAGAACACTGGAATCAAAGAAGAGATTTTCTAAAAGGAAATAGTGTATAGAAGCGATGTTTCTTTACACCGTAAAGGTTTTCCCTTCTTTACACATAACTCCTGGTTTTCTAGGTATTATTTCATTTTATTAATTTTTCCAACCAATTCATATGTATCAATGAATGCTCTTTATTCAAACTCTGTAGCACTGATAGATAGCCTGCACTAAATATTCCTTATGGAGAAAATACATATGCAGTTCAGATGTATGATGGCTGGAAGTGAACATACAAAAATGTACAGGTTAGTCAAATAGCTAAGGCAGTCTACTGAGCAACATCAATGGCAAACTTTCTCAGGAGAGAAGAACAGGAAAAAAAACTGTAGTTAGTAGAAGAGTTAGACAGGTGTGGCCAGTCACTATGTCTGAAACAAATAGATTTAAAATCCAAATTAATGTGGTGGCGGACATAATTATTACTATAAATAAGCAACAGAATAGTAACGAGGGCTCAGCTGTGCACGAACACTGTATTTGATCCTTGGGCTGGGAACACTTTCTGTTTTCAGTCTCGCATTGGTCTCCTGCACAAAACTTTTATTCCTGTATTAGAGAGTCAGAAAATGAACCAATACAAATGATCATCCATACACGCTACATAACATACCTTTTAGTTCAAAGGAAAAGAATTTAAAATCTTGAACAAGATCATCCAGGAAGAACATCCAAAGGCATGGAAGAAATTCCTTCCATCTAACACATCATAAAAAAGAAAGAGTTGGGATGCCTGTAAAATATTTGAATAGGATTTCCTTCTACAAATAAAAACCTTATCTTATAAAAAAAACTTCTGCAAACGCAGTATGAAAAAAAGCAAGTTTTGAAAATTCCTATATAATGGAAATGTACAACAGATGACATAAAATTGCTGCAGAACAAAAAAAAAAATCCTTGTCATCTTTTTCATTTTGAATATTTTCACATTTTCCAGGTCAGCATATTTCATTTCTTTATTTTTATACACTTCATAGTACGCATTCCAAAAGATTTCATTTGTTTTTAACACTAAGTAAAATGAATATATTGTTTCTCTAATTAAATCTTCTTGTCTGATACAATATATCAAATTTAATTTACCTCTATAACTAATGCTTGGTAGGAAATTGGTTCATTGAGTTATACATTTCAATATTTTTCTTGCAGGTAATGGAATATATAGAAATAAATCACATTTCACACAGACATTTTATGGTATGTTACCAGCAAATGTCCAAAGAAGCACAAACCTTAAGCACTTAAAGTTTGAAACAGTTAACTTGAAGCTAAATCTTCATAACTTGTCATCTAAAAAAAGATTTGTAATGGTTTAATGACCTGTTAGGAATAAGAACTGAAAATTATTACATACTAGATTCTTCATCATCTTTAAAAGAAATACAACCTTGTTTTAGTTGCACACAAAAATAAATTACAGCACTCCGATTTATTATGTTAAATCATAAAAAGTTAACTATAATAATGCATGAGAAATTGCCTTTTTTCACCTTCACTGACCTAGAAACAAGTGAATATATTTCCCTTAATTAAATAAAATACATGTCTGAACTGAGATTAAAATTAGAAATGTATTCCTGAACACATAAATATGATAGTACTGTATTCAATATCTGATGACTATAACTGTCATGCTTGAGTTGGCCTCCTATTTTCTAGAATGTTCTCTAGAATGGTTTATGTCTCACACTACATTAGAGAATACTATTAATCTTCAACATGTTAAATACACTACGCAAAAAAAAAGAAATAACATTGAATTTCTTGTGGGTTTTACTTCAAAAAAGTGCATTTGAGACAGACAAACATGTCAGTTTGGGGCAAAAAAAAAAAACCACAAATCAACTAACCCACAACAAAACAGAACAGAAACCATGCTTCCTGTGACAGGGATGCCTTATAAAACGTGGATTGAAACCTCTCACTCACAAACATTTAAGAAGGAGATAATTTAAATCCTGTTATTTGGTGGGGGTTTTTTTTGTTATTGGTTTGGAGGGTTTTTTTATTTGGGTTTGGGGTTTTTTTTGGTTAGGGTTTTTCCCCCTCCCTGAATGAGTATGAGGCTGTAAAATTGACTTTGCTGTGAGATAGTAACGTGCCTTTTGTTATTACTAGGATGCATGTGATAACACCACACTCAAGATAATTTCTTTAGCATTAGAATCATTTTGAACTTTAATGGACTTCTGTTATCCTCTATGATTCTAATTATAATAACCTTGCTAGTTTTCAAAAGCAATGTGTATTCAGCATATATGGCAAGAAGAGTGGGGAGTAAAGTTTGCACATCCTCTCAACAACTCTAACATTAATAGGTTGGGACCAAATCTTTGGAGTTTCTGAAATATGGAATCAGGCTCATTCTCAGAAACGAGGAAAATCAGAGAAGTCAAACCACTATTGGGAAAAGAAATCTGAAATGTTATTTGGTAATGTTATATGTTATATGTTTTCTGAAGTAGATAGTGTTGGTATCTTTTGTATCTCTTCCTCTGCCACCCAAAGATTTGTTCATTTTGGCATTTCTGTGGATTGCGAGTTTTGCAGACCATGAAAGCAAAGGAAAAAACTCATGCAACATCTGCAAGTGGAAAGCTTTCTGAGCAAAGAGAGTGGCTGAATTTTTCCTCTAATTCCAAACAGCGTATTTCAGGTATAGTAGGAAATCTACAGATTTCCCCTAACTTCAGAACTTATTTTGAAGCCTTGTTTTCAGACTTGAGGGAAAGGAAGAGGAAATATAACAGAAACGGAGTGGAAGGAAGGTTTCACATTCCAGTGCATCTGGAGAGATTTTTTTCCCCACTTTTCAAAAGGTATTACCAAAAAAAAAAAAAAGAAATCAAAACAACAGACTTACAGGTGGTTTTATATTTCTATTTTTATTGTCAGTCAGGCAAAGAAATTCTCAGCAAATACCTAACAGAGACTATTAAAACCGCATAAAAAACAAATCAGCGAGTTATCACCACTCTACTACAATATCCAGGCAAATATTTCTTCTACCATACTCAGAATTACTATGTAGTTGATAGTGTTGGCATGTTCATAGCTACCATCTGACACCACACCTTTTCAAAATCCCTAGAAGGTTACTCAGTCTCATCACAGAGCTCAGGGTTGTGAGCTACAGTGATACTACTGAAATACTATTGCTACATGACTGAAGATTCTGCAGCACCAGTAAAATTATCTTACCACAAAACCCCACTAACACTTGCTACTAAAAATAACGGAACACTATAAGAAAATAATTGAGGGACGGGAGGTGTTGTCAGTAAATCCAAAATTCTTGTGAGCAAATCCAAAATTCAGGGACAGTTCCATTATGACAATGTATGATTTTGATTCCTAAAACACTGGGAGAAGGTTACCATTGAAACAGTACCAATTATCTGAAGCAGACATAATACATTTTCATTCACCTTCTTAACCTTTCAGTCTGGAAGGCTGGGTGTGGGAAAGAAAGGATAACATCATACTTCTTTTTCCAGTTCAGGTCTGGTGACAGACACTTCCTAGCCATATTGAATCAAAAAGGCACAGCCTTGGAATTAAAGCTTTTCCCATGAACCTAAATGCATGCAATATATATGAGAATAATTTTGGAATCTGGTACGTGAAAAACATTCACTTGTGAAAGCCAGTAAGTTGGTATTAATCACCCATTGAGTTTTGCAGCCATTCTAATCTGACCTTTGGATTCCTGATACTGGAACTGCAATATATCAAGCACAGTAATATTGAATTTATTATAATGGCTTTTTTAAAACAAACAAACAAACAAACAAACTCTTCAGTTGATTTGTAATGATTCAGTTACTCCATGACCTCCACAGTTTTCATTGGCTCATAACTAAGGAAATATTAGTGCATGCAGAACTGACCTGAGCCACAACACCACCGGGGCTCAGGGGCCCAATATCTGTTAGGTGAGACATAAGGCAGGTCTGCTGCCACCTCTCTGCAGAGTCCCAAGGATGGCACATTTCATGCAGGGAGAGAGATTTGCTACAACTGCTGTAGCCCAGGGAGATCTGAGAAATGCGCATTGCAAGAAACCAAGAGAAGAGAGAGTGAAAGCACATCATTTACAGAACAGCTTGACCGAGCAAGTAAGTCTGATTACCTGCACTGTGCAACTATTGTCACCATGGCTCCACAGGGAGCACGTTCATTTGTCACTTCCACCGTACTGTATCTCAAGACATATGAGTTTTACATCAAATGCATCCCTCAGCGGTCAGCTAGCAGCCTGCTTTTCAGCTCATCTCAAGTGCGTGAATAAATATTCAGGACTATGCACGCTGCTCTCCGTCACCCTATTTCTAACCTCTTTTAAAGTGTCTGCGCATGGGCTTCCATTCACTGGCTGTGGCTTGTCTCCAGGTTGCCCTCCATTATAAGTATTTGCGTCTGAAGTAGGTGAGAGTGCTCCTGCTGGGGCTCCAGGGCGTGCGGGACCCGGCTTGGGGCAGGGCGCTGCCGGAGGGACGGGACCCGGAGCGGGGCAGGGTGGCATAGGCAGAGGGAGAGGTGGAGCGGGGTAGGGTGGTGTAGGCAGAGCGGGACAAGGTGTTGTAGGAGGAGCGGGACAAAGAGCTGTACGGAGGGCGAGTGAGCGTGCCGTAGGTGGTGCGGGACAAGGGGGAGTAGCCTGAGCGCCCCACGAGGCTCCACGCCGAGCGGGAGGTTGGACCCCACGTGGAGTGGGACCCCGAGCGAGTGGTGGTGTCGCAGGAGGGGCCCCACTGAGGGCCGCACACCGAGCGAGACCCTGCGGTGCCCATGGCTCGGGGGACCCAGCGGGAGGC